TAGGACACTAGGCGAATTTGAGGACCACTTTATATGATGGCTTCTGAACATGTAGTATTGTAGTGTATGGTAATATGCTCCATTTTGGTATCTCATCCCTCCATCATATCCCATTCGCCAAGGCTGCTACAACTAACATATATGCCCTCTTTTTGCTTTTTGAGATTTAACTGCATTTGCCAATGAACCATTCAACTTAAAAGCTTAAACTGTTAGGTGAGGTCTTTGAATATATTTTATTCTCTCGTATAAAAGCTTATTAGGCTTGAAGTGAAGACAAGCATAGATCCATTCGTACCTTGCATTGAAATTTAATTAATTATAATGGAAGCAGTGAGAATCAGATACTAAACCACTTAGTCAAAGTGGCTTTGATACCTTGTCAAGGAATCATTGAATCTAAAAGTTCAAATTGTTAGGTGACATCCATGAAGACTTTTATTCTCTACAAAAAACAATTGGGAATAAGGAGCTTAAAGCTCCTTCTCCTTATAATGCAATTTTATATGCATTAGTATAAATGCATGGGATTACAAGTGAAAAAACTACAAATTCTGCTTTACTTTTGCTTCGGAGCTTACTTGAGTTACCTTTTTACTTCATCAGTGAATCAGAAGAGTTCACATCTCTGCCCCACAATGCCATATAGTACATCCCCGCTGTGTATTGATAGCATCTCCCGATGATGACATTATCGGTTTTGATACCATCATCGGGAGATATTCTCAATACATGGTGGAAATGTGCTGTAGGGCATTGTGGGGTGGAGATGTGGTCTCGAATCAGAAAACCACTTGCGTTCCCATACTTTGGCATCGGTTAATTGCAAACAAATAAGGCCTAAAATGTTTTGATGTGTAATGACATAAATCATTCAAATTTAGCCCGGAAAATGAGTAGCCATTGACATGGTGAAGTGAAATTAATATATAATACAGAATAATGCAAACAAACAACGATTAGTGCAACTCTGTATGTATCTCCTTGTGGGCTGTGGACATGCTGATATCCATAGAAGGATATATACACCACAAGACAAAGCTGGACATGTCATTTTATGGGTTCCACCCATTTGTAGCGAGAAGAAAATCAAGAGTTACACTAATCTCAAACATAGAATGTTGTGGATATTTTCTGAAGATGCGAATAGCTTCTTTTTTTTTATTCTTTATTATAATTAATATATTCCCCTTGAATGGTTAATTATTTATTTTAATAATTAACTTCTTTTTCCTTCTGCACATGACTTGTTTACCCATTGAGAGTTAGAATTTCTACCTCACAGAATCTTCCTCACACCCATCTCATAATAAGTTGCAGCTGTATATCGAGAATATCTCTTATATTTATATATTTTCATTTATGAAGAGAGATTTTTAATGCATTTCTGCAAAAGGTAGTAGAAAGAAGGGCTTGGTTTTAATGCCTTCAATGTGCTATACATATATAGACTGAATGAGATGATGGGTCGATATTGGTACTTCCATTTGGAATGAACATTGGAGCATGGATATCACCTATTTGTTCACATTATCATCCAATTCTATAATGTAACATTATAATATATCACATGGTACCACTAGCGTCTCCACCCTTGGGGTTGCAAACAGTATTTGATTGTCCAAAATTTGAATTATATTCGAATTTATTTTATTTATGACTGAATCAAATATGGATTCACCCTATCTAAAATCTGATTATATATATGCTTCAAATTTATATTGATTTATTCATAGTCGATTGGGTTCAATTCGTTATAGACTCATTCAGTTCAGCTAGGGCTGTTCACCAACAATGCTAAATCGATCTGATTTAACTCGATTTAGTCGGTTTTTCTTTACCACTGGTCAGTTTCGGATTATGAAGAGGGATAAATCGAAGAAAATCGAAATTGAACCGAACCGAGTTAATTAGTTTTTGATTTTCAAGTCTTTCCCTAACTAGGTAATCTTGATCCTAGTTTATTCTTTCTAGTTAGTTACTTATTTTTTACATTAAAGAATAATAAAACATTAATTAAATAGGAATTACTTTTGTCTTTAGGATTGTTTTCCTTTTTTAAGTAGAAAATTTTACATTAAATATAGGATTCTTTATAAACATTGCCAAACCAACCCAAACCGACCCTTCATATTTGTGCCGATTTTGCTTAATGACAGTCAGTTTCGATTTGCTTTTTAAATAATCCAACCAGATTGAATCGATTGAAAAAAAATTATTAAACCGACTCAACCCAACCCATAAACAACAGCAGGTGAAGATGAATGGTTTCCCCGTTCCGATTGGCTGGCACATGGACATGGCCAAGGTCAAGTAGTGCTTTAATTCATAGTGTGGATGATGTTATTTAGTGGAGTGGTCCCCCAGGGGAGAAGCTAGCGGCCTACTAACATTAGTCACCAGAGCGGACAACTGATAAGTTGAACGTAAAGCCGGGTCGTTGTTTAGAAAATGACCCATCACCCAGGGACCGTGGGTGGTGTTGTTTTCAATCTCTCCCCCTTCTTTCATTTAATTAAAGGCCTCCAACATATAACTAGTACACTACTGTTAATTACTCTTTAACTGTTCAACTGTCAAGTCGGGTTGCCTCACTTGAATAAACATTACATCGGATTCGGGTTAAGACTTTGGTCGTCAAAACAAGGCAACACTTTTCTTTCAGACCGTGTTGCCCCCACTCAACACTTTCTTTTTGAGTTGCATCTGAAAATATTGTCTTTAAAACGTTATTTGCCTCTATTCAGTTTTATTAAATTTGCTATTGGATTATAAGTAAATCCATTCTTAAGATATAATAGTCTTGGACGAGAGTCTGCAATCAATAAAGTTGAAGAGTCTCCAAAAAAACTTTTTGTAAGACAATAGCAAATCGGACTGAGAGAAATGGGAGTGATTTTGAAAATTTATGTGTGCAAATGTTTAATTTACACTCCTTAAATAGTTTCTAAAGAGTTATGGAGCAGAGGAAGGTGGTGGTAAAGAGAAAACCTCCGTACTCTCCTTTTTATATCTAAGGAGCGTAAATAAGCTCCTATTAAAAAACTCAAAACAAGTTTTGTAATTTTTCAATGTAGGACAAATTAAAAATTGGTTTTAGTAAGATAAAAAAGTTACTTTTCAATACATGTGTGAATGTGTATTTTTCATGCAATTTATCAATCAAACCCCATTGGATTTAATCTCTAATGAGATTAAAATCTAATAGTTTTCTCCTAAAATGGCAATGTTTGGAGGTATTTGCTTTTATTGTTGTTTTTTCTTTTTTTTTTTGAGAAAACAATTCTATATTGGAGCCACATTTGCGATCACGCTTTACAATGTGGGACCAGATTTAATAGGCACATCAAAGTAAGCACGCTAAATGAGCATTCGATAAATATTTTGACAACTGTCAAAAGTGGGTATTAATATTTTTCAAAGGTGGGGTGAGGGCATTTTAAGGGAGAGGTGACAAAAAAGTTTTCAAATGCTCATTGAACGTGCTTACAACTTCGTGCTTACCTCATCCGAATCCTTGCAATGTTTAGAAAAAAACAAAAAATGTCAGAAAAGACATTTTCCAAAGCGACCCCTCTTTTTTGAAAATCGTTACATTTTTTTGTAAACGACCAACCAAACAATAAATGAGGTGCTATTTTCTTAGTGTTTTCAAACCACTATTGATCCGGATGGTCAGACGATTCAGCCCAGGAACCGTCCAAGCAACCGATTTCATTTCATCCTCAACCCGTTCCTGTTCAAAAATCGTTGATTTGGTCAATGACCTACTAATCTAGGCGGTTGAACCATCAATTCATTCAACATATTTAACGATTTTTGACCATTTTCTTATTTTAATTATTTTTTTATTTTTTTATTTTTTCAGTCAGAACGGGCCATCCATTTAAACTGAATGATCAAACCGTTAACCCAAAAACCAATGGTCACAACAGTTCCAATTTCAGGTCGATTCTTAAAACCTGTTTTCTCATATAACAAAAGTGGAACCAAACACCACCTAAAAGAAATGGGGAATCATCACGTTGTGATGATTGACTGCGTTCTCGTGGACCCGGTCGTGAGTCATGACTCATGAGTCAAGAGAACCCTTCGGCCCTCACCTTCGTGTTCATCACTCGTTCGCTATAGAAAGTAGAAAGTTTGAAACCTTGCTACTCAATGAGAGCGCGCTCGTTGGATCATCATGCCTGACGTGGCGAGTGGTTGGTACTTGGTAGGATTCAGGAGAAATTGTCTCTGCTGACATGGCTTTCTCACGTATGCACCTGGAATAAATCAATTTACCAGGTGGACCTGGTAGACCCAAATTTGACTTGATCACTTTGAACTAAATAAAAGGAAAAACAAGCGACCCTTTTTTTATCAAAATCTAATAATCTATCACATTCAGTTTTGATCCTTATGACCCTGATAATGATGCTTAACTCAACTGTTGGGATGGTGCCATGGTGGAGACTTCAGCAGCGTATCATTTCTCGTAGTCTGTTCTGTTGGGAAATTCGGATTCCCACCAGAAAAAATGCTTTGTTTTTATTGTTGGGCTTGGGCCAGACGGACACTATTATTGTATTTGTGGGCTTCGGGGGTTCCAACGTCCAACCTCCTGCCTCGTGGGGCGACCCTGGAGACTGCACAGAGCACAGTGCAGTGTGAAGACTACGCATCTGACAGGAGGAAACTAAACTCCCTACACGTAGTTGGGTAATGGGTGGGTGGGGCCCCATGGATACTGCGGCACACCGCACACCCGATACATCATACATCACCATTGGCATTGGTAAAAGGTAAAAACTAAAATGTTTGTAAAAGCTAAGGAGTGAGCCACGTGGCAGTAGAATAGTTGGAGAGTAAACACATGACAGGAGTAGATCGAGAGAAAGAGATGGTGGAGACGGTAAATAGTACACTACATTACACACAATATTTTTACTGTGAGAGCGAGAGACACGGAGTGGGTCTAGGATTCCTCTGGATGGCGTCATAAATCGATAAAGTGTGTACTCCCAGGACAATACTCCGTTTATATCGTCCGAACCTTTTGCTCTCCACCATTTTTTCCCTCTCCGGCTGTCTCCTCTCCGATACCCATCCACTCTCGCCGACGATTTCTGTCAGTTTGTCGAAGCTTCTCAGATCAAAGCTCGCCATTGCCGGGAAGTGTTGCTACTTTCTTTATCTTCACTTGTTATTTATTTAATTTCACTACTTTAATTTTCTCGACTTGTTATTTGTTGTTTATGCTGTTCATGTTCTGAGATTAGGAAGTTCAGTACTGAATATTACTCGTTTTATGGGTGAAGCTTGGATTTCTTAAGTTGATTCTTGTGGCAATTTTGCGGAGTGAGTTGGTGTTGCGTGAGTATGTGGATCGCTGTTGTTTGGATCCATGGATATGTGGGTGTACTGTTTCTGGATTTTTGGGGGCATAGAGAGGCGGATTAGGACATCTCTAGGGTTTTTGTTTGGGGTTATTGGAGCTCCCTGATTATCAAGCGGAATTCTTGTTTGGTTTCTAGTTTCTTTTTTCTCCTTTTCTTTTCTTTTGGATTTCCTGAGCTGATTTAGAATTCCTGGAATTCTGAACTAGTGACTACTTTACGTAATGGAAACAAAAATTGGAGGTGATTTTCACCATTTCTATGGTCCAAGTGCATCTGATTTTATGCTGAAGGAGAAGGATTTGTTAGGGGTCGGGAAGAAGAGTTTAGAATGGGATTTGAATGACTGGAGGTGGGATGGGGATCTCTTCATCGCTAACCCCTTAAACTCTGTCCCATCAGACTGCCGGAGCAGGCAGTTATTCCCTGGCAGTTCTGGAATTCCCACAGCTGGTGGTTCATCAAATAGTTCTTCTTCTTGTTCCGATGAGATTAATCCAGGCTCTGATAAAGGGAATAGGGAATTGGAGAAGAAGCGGAGGGTTATTGTAGTCGAAAATGAAGACTTGAACGATGAAGTTGGGTCCCTCACATTGAAGCTTGGCGGCCATGGTTATCCTGTTGTGGAAGGGGATATTTCAAATTGGGATGGCAAGAATGGAAAGAAGACCAAGTTGCTTGGGACTACTTCCAACCGTGCTGTTTGTCAGGTGGTGGGTTGTGGGGCTGATCTTAGCAATGCCAAGGATTACCATAGACGACATAAAGTCTGTGATATGCATTCCAAAGCTAGCAAGGCACTTGTAAGCAATGTCATGCAAAGGTTCTGCCAGCAGTGTAGTAGGTAAGTATCTATTTGTTGCTTGCATTGTGATTTTCCTTTGGTAGCCCCTGTTTTGATGAAATAGAACAATCGTGATGACTCCTTCTCTTATATGAGATGCTAATTGTGTTTAATCTTTTAAGAAGACTCAATCAGTACATCATGGTCTAACCATTTGACCCTTATCATATGTTCCTTGTTTTTGCAACTTGGGACTTGATGTTGGTTGTTATTGCTTTGAAATCTTTCTATTATATGGTTGTATCTTGAAAAATGTTATTCCTGAAGTTAACTTTGCTATTGTTTCACTTATTGTCAGGTTTCATGTTCTTCAAGAGTTTGATGAAGGGAAGAGAAGTTGTCGGAGACGTCTGGCAGGCCATAATAGGCGGAGGCGGAAAACCCATCCTGATGCTGCTGCTAATGGAAGCTCCCTGAGTGATGATCGGGCTAGTAGTTACCTATTAATAAGTCTATTAAGAATCCTTTCAAATATGCATTGTAAGCATCTTCCTTGCAATAGTCATATGTGCTATTCTCTTTGCTTGTGACACTTGTATATTGACCTTTATTTATTGTGCTTTTATCTCTGCTAATCTCATCAAGTGTTACTGAGAATTGTCTTTCAATATATCTACCAAAATTGTGTTTGCTTTTCGGGCTACTGGAGAAGTTTGTAGGGGTAGAGCATTGATATCTGCTTGGAGGAAGCATGGTGGATGAGATATAAGTTCATGATTCCTCTATATTTCCAAGCATGATATTCTCTGTCCATTGGCTCATGTTTTGGCAAATTATATATTGAAGCCATATTGATCAATAGTGGGATCCATTCGATTTTGCCATGCTGTTGATTTCACTTGTCTCTTATCATTCTTGGTATTAAAAAGCAGTATGAGAAAAAAAGAGGAATTTGAATGATAATTAAAGGCTTGAAATTTGGGACCTCCTGTTTGTTGGCTGTTCTTCAGAGGAAATTTCTTTCCGATGATTCTTGTTTGACATGATCAGAAAGGGTATTTCTGCCCTAAATATTTAATACATAAGCTTCTTTTTGAGAGGAAGTCCTGTTAATACGTAGTTTCTATTTTTTATTTTGGGAGCATGTCTGTAGTTACTACAAGTTTAGTAGGACGATACACCAGGAACACTGATTCAACAGCATGTTAGAAAGATGAAGAATTAGGAGGTTCTTTGTTATTTATTTTTTTAGAAAAAGGTAGTGTAATGTATTGTATTATAAACACTATAAACACCCTTGTACAATGAGATCTTGTATATCAATTCACAGGTTATTAAGAAGAACAAAAAAAGTTTATAAACAAAAAAGAATGACTGAACTCTCCACTGAAGATCCTGCAAGCAGAGAGCTAGTCCCTAATCAACCCAAAAGAAGAATGAATTATAGCCTCTACTGAACTCTTTCTGCGGTAAAAATCCGAGCATTTCTTTTAAGCCATGTAGCACAAAAGATTGCCAAAGGGATAACAGCCCAAGCTAATCTACCTCCCTTGCTCATGTTGTGAACATGCCTCCCACCCAAAAGACCAGCAACAGAATAAGGATGACACCCTTGCCACTGGATTGCATTTTAATAATGGATCCACAATCTGTTGGTGAATTTACAGTGAATCTGTGAATGAACAGATGACTAGAAGTCTCCTGCTGCTCTTCACATTGAGGACAAACAATGTTATCCAGGTCCACCCCTTCTCAACATGTAATCCTTGGACCAACATTTTTCCAACCCCGCCAGCTAAGTGAAGAACTATACCTTTGAGGGGGCCTCCATAGATCTGTTTACAAGGAAAATCCCTTAATTTACCTTCTGTGAACTCTATAGAAGGATTTAACTGAGAAGCTATGATAGCTATGCCACTTCCATAACCTTAATTCCCTCTCCTGAAAATTGCAGCTCTGATTCTGATCAAACGCAACAAATCAGAAATTTGCCCCAACTCCCAATCATTTAAATTTCTCCTTAAGACAGGGATCCTCACTGGATTCATCATCAAGCCTTATCCCAAATATGGGGTTGGCTACATGAATCTTGTTTTGCCATTCCGTTCTGTTTTATGTCATATCTTATATTAGCACTATGATATTATAAGATTCAGCAACTGTGGCATCCTTTTTGCAAGCTATTTGATAAAAATTTGGGAATAAATCCTTAAGACAGGGACCCTCACTGAAAATTGTGTGTCCCATCCATTCTATTGAATTCCATACTTATCCTCTGTCTTCTTCCAAAGACCACCTTGTTTACTATTGAACCTCCACAACCACCTGCCAATAAGGGAAGATTGAATTGTTTTACCCTCTAATACCCAAACCGCCATATCTAATAGACCTGCAGACCTGATCCCAATACACCAGATGGGTTCTGGATGGATTCTAAAAATGTCTCTCATGGATTTTTCTAGTCTGTCAACAATCTCCTTTGGAAAGGATGTTCTTTAGGCATCGCAAACACTGCCTTAGGCATCTTTGTGATGGCTTCCTTGACTCAGTGTTTTGAAAGCACAAGGTGTAAAAAAAGTGCAAAGGGCATTTTGCACCCAAGGCGCGGGCACATGCCTTTTTGAAGCAAGGCACAAAATTTTAAAAAATTCAAAATAAATCAAGAAAATGTTAAAATAATATTAATTAAAAAAATGCAAACTTTAATTTTAAACAATGTTTTAAAAATCTTGTTAGTTCAAATTAAAATACATGACCATAACATATATAACATATTCAAAGTGAAAATGCAAACAATAAAATCAACATAGCATATAAAACATATTCAAGTATGTCAAACTTTCAATTTCTTTATTCCTTTCCTAATTGAACTATTTCAAATAGATAGCATGATGATAAACATGTTTCATTCCTGATTCTACGTGCTGCCTTTGTACCAAGCCCCTTGTTGCAAGCCCAAACAAATCCATGTTAGGGTCTTAGAAAATATCTTTTATTAGGAAGAATGAAGTGAACACCATTAGCAAATAGGGGGGTTTTTAGAGCTATTCAGATCCTCTTTTGCCATACCACTTTTATCAAGGGTCATATTCTGTGTCAGTGTTATATGTTGACTGTCATCTAGTGATAGCTTTCTCTGGTGATGGCATACTTTCCTGAGTATCAATTCTATTTTCTATGTATTGCAGCAAATAGCTCAGATCAGACAAAGGATCAAGATCTCCTGTCACATCTTTTTAGGAGCCTTGCCAACATTGCTGGCACATTAGATGGAAGGAACATATCTGGGTTATTGCGGGAATCCCAAGATCTTTTGAATGTTGCGACTTCTGTTGGAACATCCTCAGAAAAAGTGTCACCCCCACTCGTAAATGGCATAGAGTCAACCGTGCCTGTGGGCTCCACTTCTAAGATAAACAGAAATGGTGCTGAAGGTCCTGAGGTCAGGCCTCTTGATCAATTTTTTAGTGCATCTGCAGCTGATCTACCTCAAAAAGGAATGACTACAGCTGATGTTCGGGTTGGAACTCTACAAGCTGGATCTTTGCCAAAATCCACAACCGTGATTCCAATAAAAGACAGCCATCTGGCCAAGGCTGAGGTCACACAGTCTACTGTGGGGAGGATTAAATTAAACAATATTGATCTGAATAACATCTATAATGATTCACAAGATTGCATAGAAGACATGGAAGGGTCACAAGCCCCTGTAGTTGATTTCCCTTCATGGATGCAGCAGGATTCTCACCAGTCAAGCCCTCCTCAGGCAAGCGGAAATTCAGATTCGGTATCTGCACAGTCACCATCTAGTTCCAGTGGAGATACTCAGGTATGCATTCGTGTTAATTGTATTTTTGTTGATCTTCAAATACATGACAAAGCATAGTCCAGCATTAAATGTGGTGCCAATAAATAATTTTTATGGATTGTTAAAATCCTTCTTACGTTCTAAGGAAGAGTTCAAAAATATTATGAATGAACTCAATCTTCTCATGACTAAAATGGTTTCTGTTTCTGTTCGCCTTTTGCCTTATCCATTACTACCAGCACTAGTTCCTTACTGGAAGTTGTAGAAACTGAACATTTTAATTGTTTCCTGATTATATTTCTTGTTGTATTCTTCAACTACTCCTTGATTATCTAATCTTTTGCTTGCATTCACTCTTTAAGGGCCACTTAAGCAGCCACTATCCATTGATGAAATTAGGTGGTCTTTTGAAAAATTTGCTTGACATACATGCTCCTACTGTTGAAGAAAAAGAAAAGAATGGCATAGCCCTACACTTCTTTGCTGTCTATCTTGCCTTGAGAAATTTGCAAAGTCAAAATTAATTCACTGTCTCAATCCAATCCTTTGTACTAATACATTTTTCTTATCAGTATGATATTGATACATTAGAGCTCTAAAGAAATGAAATCATGTTTTTGTTTGGAACTGCTCCTTTGCAGCTAATGTAATGAGTATGCAAAAATTGTTATATCTTTTAACGTTGACATCTGTTAATTTCAGAGCCGCACAGATCGAATTGTTTTTAAACTTTTTGGCAAAGACCCAAATGATTTCCCTCTTGTTCTACGAGCTCAGGTATTTTTTGGTCCTTGAATTGATTTGAGTGTAACTGTTACAGTTCTCTATCAGAAAGTATCTGATATTAAGCATCTTAAATTTCCAGATCCTTGACTGGTTATCTCACAGTCCTACAGACATGGAGAGCTATATCAGGCCTGGTTGTATCATCCTAACAGTTTATCTCCGTCTGCCAAACTCTACATGGGAAGATGTATGCTAATTATACAAGGCATTATTGTCACCAATGTATGAAATTCAATCTTGGGCCCTCTTTTTTCAACAGCGCTAATATCCTGATCTTGTTTGCTAAGCGCAGATTTGCTGTGATCTAAGTTTGTGTCTGAGAAGGCTCTTAGATGCATCTGATGACACTTTCTGGACGACTGGATGGGTGTATACTAGGGTGCAGCATCAAATTGCATTTGTCTACAATGGTTTATTTATCTATCTTTATTTATTTATTTATTTATTGCTCTTTCTAATCTTTCTTTTCCCCTCCTTTTCCATTTCTCTTCCAATTAAAGTTACAGTAGCATGTAGAAGTTAGCAATAGCCCCTTTTCAAGGAAAAATTAAGGTTCTGATTATGTGTCCTTGCATTTCAGGTCAGATTGTTCTAAACACATCATTACCTCTCAAAAATCATAGTCATTGTAGAATATCAAGCATTGCACCAATTGCAGTTTCTTCATTTGAGAAGGCTGAGTTTATTGTCAAAGGCTTAAACCTATCTTGGCCCACCACCAGGTAGCAATCACCTTACTTCCTGTAAATGTGTGTGTGTGTGTGTGTGTTTCTTTCTTACCCTCTTTTTTCACTAGAGAGCTTGGTTTAATGGTAACATGTTGGACCGGCAAGCATGAGAATGTGTGCTAGAGCCTGAGAGTAGTCACTTTGTGCAATAATAAAAAAAAAAAAAGAAAAAAAGGCCAATGGTTAGGTTTGTATGCAATCCACCCTCCCAAGACCCCAGATAGCTGGTACCAACATTGGGTAATAGCCATACCCTATTTCCTCACTAAAACTGGGTATCTGTCCTACAAGAATTGTTACTTCCTCTTATGCATTAGAAGGGAGAAATCTGGAGGTTCACACTTAAACAAATATTGGCCATGATTTTATATGAAAAAAAAAAATAAACACCAGTTTTTTCTTTATTATATGCTTTGTAGGTTGCTCTGTGCAGTAGATGGGAAATATTTGGTCCAGGAAGCTACTCATGATTTGGTGGAGGCCACTGAAACCTCCAAGGAGTATGATGAAATCCAGTGCCTCAGATTTCATTGCTCTCTCCCTGATGTAATTGGGAGAGGATTCATTGAGGTTTGCATCTCCTTATGCTTCTCATAAACATCCTATTATCTTGTTCTCTCTGCTGATGTGTTTGGAGTCTGTTTGGTTCTATATTACTATGTTCTGTGGAACCATTCACACTTCATCATGTAAGGGATTTACCAGATTTACCAAAATGATGTCCCATGTAGGACTTCTCCCATGTCAAGATTGAACTAGTAAAACAACTATAACTTCTATAATCATCTAGCTCTCTATCTCTCACATTCTTGCTTGCATGCACTTGAGATTCTCCATGTGTAGCTATGTCATACATAAATCACTGAAAATGAAAAGGTGAATTGTTTTGGACTATTCTTGATTCGCTTTCAGATGCATATATGCATGCACAAACATTTACTTGCTCTGTATACTGAATTTTTAGTTATTGGAATCTTCCAGGTTGAAGACCATGGTCTCAGCAGCAGTTTTTTCCCATTCATAGTAGCAGAGCAGGATGTGTGTTCTGAGATCCGCATGCTTGAGGGTGTAATAGAGGCAGCTGAATGTGAAAATGGTGTCCAGGGAGGAGGTGGAAAAATTGAAGCTAAGAATCAAGCTCTGGACTTCATACATGAAATGGGATGGCTCCTACACAGGACACATGTGAGGTCTAGATTGGGTCATATGGATCCTAACTTGGATGCATTTTCTTTCAGACGGTTCAGGTGGATCATGGAGTTCTCCATTGATCATGGTTGGTGTGCTGTAGTCAAGAAACTCTTGGACATTGTTTTCAAAGGAAATGTGGATGTAGATGAGCATCCCTCTGTTGAGTTTGCATTGTCAGAGATGGGCATTTTACACAGAGCTGTTCGGAGAAACTGTAGGCCATTGGTGGAACTCTTGTTGAGATATAAACCAGAGAAAGTTTCGGATGAGGCAGGATCTGAACACAACCAACAGGGTGGCAGAGCTAATGATGGCTTCTTGTTTAGACCTGATGCTATTGGCCCTGCTGGTTTGACACCTCTTCATGCTGCAGCCAGTAGAGATGGCAATGAGAATGTGTTGGATGCATTAACTGATGATCCTGGAATGGTATTGCCTTCTTCCTCTATCATATTATATCAGGATGTCTTAGATCTAATCCTATTATTGAAGAGTGGAAGGCGTAGCAGTTTCATATATTCTTAATAGCACTGTTATCACAGGATATCATTATATCTTTTGACAAAAATCATGACCTTTTCTATGGTTTTCATCTGTTCATCTATAATACGAGCCTTGGTTCCATGCAGGCCAAAATTTTAAATTATTTTAAACAGCATCATATCATGTAAGGTTAATACTTACAAATCGTTTAAATATTGTAATCTTTAAATTCAACCAATGAGTTTAGGCATTTAATGTACAGTAACAATGTCAAAATCTAGATGCATTCTCATCTTTTTAGTTTTTATCCTTTTGTCTTGTGCACATGCCCTTACACCAGTCTATGTACTAATGTACTGTCCGAAAATAAAAGTCCATGTGCTAATGTGGATTATGTAAAATAGCTTGTTGGATGAGTTGTGTAAAGGATTGGATCACAACACCCTTTACAAGCTGAGAATGTAAAAAGAAAAAAAAAGTACTATTGTTTCTTTTACCTGTCAAGGCTCTGATGTTGGTCTTCGTTGTTCAGGTGGGAGTTGAAGCATGGAAGAGTGCTCGTGATAGCACAGGTTTTACACCGGAGGATTATGCCCGCCTCAGAGGTCACTACTCTTACATTCATCTGGTCTATAAGAAGGTAAAGAAACCGGAAGCTGGGCATGTGGTCCTTGACATTCCTGGCATTATCTCAGAATGCACCAACAATCAGAAGCAAATAGATGGATTGGAGTTGGCCAAAGAGACCCGCTTTCACATCGACAAGACAAAATTGGGAATGATTCGTCGACATTGCAAGATCTGTGATCAACAACTAACATATAGCTCCACCAGCAGATCGCTGGTGTACAAGCCGGCGATGTTGTCAATGGTGGCCATTGCAGCAGTATGCGTCTGTGTGGCCCTGCTCTTCAAAAGTTCACCGGAGGTTTTGTGCGTTTTCCCACCATTCAGGTGGGAATTGTTGGATTATGGACCAATGTGAGTCTGACACGATCCACCGAATAGGTATTCTGTTGTAGTTTCTATAGGCTGTAAATTGATGAGCTTTCTCTGATAGGACTCTGGAGCTTTGGTTGGACTTGAATCCAGTAAACATACTCTGTATATTTATTTATGTTATTCCATTCAACAAGAAATTCCATTAATGCTTTGTCAGAGTGAAAGATACGAGAAGGTGGCAGGGAAGTGTTTCTACTATAATTAATTAAAACCGCCCCTGCTACTTAAATAATCAATATAGAAACGTTCCTGACTTCTTTCTCAAGTTATATTTGTCAGTGTTGTGGTCACAGTTCATTCATTCCCAGTTCCCATCACAAAATGTTGCCTCTTTTTAATGATTTTATTATGCAATTAAATCTTGGGTTTCAATTTTCAAGCTGCACTGTAAAACGGATACACGCCACCGTTGAGAACTCGAGGAACGGCAGTTCTCGCTCAACACCACGCAAATTTGGTCATTGTAATAGGGTGATCGGATCACCTCAATTGGTTGGTGTTGAATCAGGGGTGACCTCTACGGAATGTTGCCCATTAGGAATTGGGTGTTGGGCAAGTGATCCGATATTTCGATGGTTGCTGGAGAGTGAGGAAGATGGTGGGTGTTATCACCATTGCACCTAACATGTATGATAAAACGGCAAAGTGAAGTTAGTTTCGAACAACCTAATTTGATTTTCAAGACAAACATTCTTCTATAGACAAGTTGCTTGAGGGTCTGAGTTTATATATGGAGATTTGAATGCTAAGGTCTTGTTCTACTGCTTCAACTTCAAATTCAATGGGTCTCAGACAAAGTTGCTTCTCGTTTGATTACAGCCTGTGAAATTGTCCAACAGGCAGAGTGATGCATAGAAGGGCAAATTTGGAAATTTGGTTTATGTATATTCATGCCCGACCGAACTACAGTCTACAGACAACAGGGGAGGTTTTTGTTACTATCAAAACATGGTGTTTGGTGTTTGGTAATTGTTAGAAAACTCGGGAGATTTTTATTTCATTTTCCCTCGATAAGCTCTCGCCCCATCCGGTTTCTGTCTGTCTCGCGCTCTGTGGTAGAGTCACTGAGTTCACACTTCACAGCGAGCAATGGCGTCGTTGTCTCTCTCATTTTCTTCGTCTCTCCGCCCAACTTCTCTTCAACACGAAGCGACGCAGGGCATGAAGAACAAAGCCATAGCTGAACCGGACCTTTCTAGGGCTTTTCGCTGTGCATTCGCTTCTCCTGTGAGAAAAGGGAACGCCTCAAAATCATCATCCTCTTCTTCTTCACCCGTCCGTACGCCAGGTTTCAAACATACCCCTCCGGTTAAAAAGCGCCATTGGAAGGAAGGGGAGTTTCCTGGTATATCGGACGCATCGTTTCCGAGCTCGTCCAATAGAACGCCCCTAAAGAATGTAAAGAAGAAGATGGACAATAAGAACAAAGCCAAGGCTTGGGCAAACACCGTCACTGAAGCTTTGGCCGATCGAATTCAGAAGAAGCTATGGGAAGATGCCCTGCAGGTTTTAATTCTCATTTTCCTGCTTTTTCCTTAAACCCCCTGTCTGATTATACATATACAATTCTACATTATCCGATGAATTATTAATGTCTTTGCAAATAGTTGTTTCCTTTCGTGGATCGGTTTTTTATATAAATGAAGAACCTCCTCTTTTTTCTTCTCCAAAATGTAATTTGTTAATCTAAATTTCAGCAGTTTTTGTTTAAAAATTGGCAACTAATATAATCATGTTCCTGATTATTACTTGTCTACCACTATACAATAAAGTTATGGAGGCTCAGCAATATTAATCACGATTTGTGGGAAGGTCTTGATTAATCTTCGTCACCAAGGATTCTTCTACTGCGCTTCTCCATATTAGTATTTATATTTATTCCCATGTTGTTGCTGCTTTTTTCCCTGTCATTTTAATTTTACTTAATACTCGTTTAAATTTTCTTAGACAATTATGATCATTATCCTCAGTCATTGTACCCAAATTTGGTACAATCTTTTGTTGGAATGTTTCCGTTCCTTCACTTGAAGAGGCTTCACGAAGACACGTATCTAATTATTCAGCTCTGAATAGGTCTTCGAGATGCTCAAGGAACAACCTTTCTATCAACCAAAAGAAGGTACATACATGAAAATACTTGTCCTCCTTGGAAAATCTGGTCAACCTCAACGTGCCCATCAGCTCTTTGATGAAATGGTGAAAGAAGGATGTGAACCTACTTCAGAGCTGTACACAGCGTTGCTTGCAGCTTATTGCCGGAATAATCTTCTTGATGAAGCATTCTTAATCCTTAATCAAATGAAGACCCTTCCTCGTTGCCAACCTGATGTTTATACATACAGCACCCTCATAAAAGCTTGTGTTGATGCATCCCAGTTTGATCTAGTTGACTCTCTGTATGAAGATATGGCTGATCGATCAATAACTCCAAACACAGTTACCCAGAACATAGTTTTGAGTGGCTATGGGAAAGTGGGCAAATTTGACCAAATGGAGAAAGTTCTCTTGAAGATGCTTGAGAGCACAACGTGCAAACCTGATGTCTGGACTATGAACACTATTATTAGTTTGTTTGGCAACAAGGGTCAAATTGAGATGATGGAGAGATGGTATGAGAAGTTCCGAAACTTTGGAATAGAACCTGAAACTCGTACTTTCAATATTCTGATTGGTGCATATGGTAAGAAAAGGATGTATGATAAGATGTCTTCAGTGATGGAGTACATGCGCAAGCTGTCATTTCCATGGACAACCTCGACTTACAACAATGTGATTGAAGCCTTTGCGGATGTGGGGGATGCCAAGAACATGGAGTACACATTTGATCAGATGCGTGCAGAGGGCATGAAAGCAGACACAAAAACATTTTGTTGCCTTATTAATGGTTATGCTAATGCAGGCCTCTTCCATAAAGTAGTAAGTAGTGTCCAGTTGGCTGGGAAGTTAGAAATACCTGAGAATACCTCATTCTACAATTCAGTAATCTCTGCCTGCGCAAAGGCTGAGGATTTAATTGAGATGGAGAGAGTTTACAAGCGGATGAAGGATAAACACTGCCAACCAGATTCTTCCACTTTCTCTATCATGGTGGAGGCATACAGAAAGGAAGGTATGACTGACAAGATCTTTGATTTGGAGCAGGAGAAGATGGTGATTGCTAATTATTTAAAAGATGAATGATGGAGGATAGAATTGATCTTCTGGTTAAGATTTGACTGAGAGCATGCAATATAATGGCGTGGTATTGATGCCAGGGGCTCTGGCTCCATCCAACAACATTTTGAATAAAAAGGTAATTAATTTGTTGCTTTCAGAAATGAATAACTGCCTGTATCTTTATGGATATTATGTTATGAAACAATTATCTATGCATATAATGTTTTTTTTTTGTGACCTGATGCATGCAATGTATTAATTCATTCCCTATGCCMATTATCTTCTAAGGCAAAATGCTCTGGGATTTTGCTGTTGCTGTCATTGGATATTTGAATGTATTGGCATAGGTCATAGATGATGGGCATTTCTCTTCTTGTTTTATTTATTTCTAATTTATTTTTGGATAATTGACAGTAAATAATAGAATTTCATCTAACTTAAAAACCAGGAGACCATATTGTCCAGATTTAGACAGCAAGGAGAGTACAAAACAGCATGCAGCTGAAAAAACATGAAAACATAATATGGACAGATTACAGATTACAAATCATTCCTAGGTCCCAGCATTCCCCATTGCAGACCCTTACTTGTCACCCTTGACTTTGCAAGATTATCAGCCAAGTAAGTGGCAAACCTAGGGATCCACTTGAATGAGCAGTTCAGGCTTCCTTCCATCAGTTGTTATTATTAGTTGATCAATTGCTTTTTTCTTGTTATAGTCCACTAGTTCAGACTAGAAAGAAGTATATAACATATTGCTATTGGTTATCTGTCACCAGGTTTCTGTATGCTCCCTTGCCTTCTGGTGGGTGGGCATATTGTTATTGGTGGTGTGTTTGACTTTTCATGAGGTTTACTTATGTTTATGATGCTAGCATGCAAATTTCCTATCTTTTTTTTTTGATAACTAACAGAAACTTTCATTAATAGAAACTAAGAGAAAAAGATACAAGAGGAGGTGTAAAATCTCTTAACCCTCCCTAAAGGTACATTTTAATTTACAATATTTCCCAGAATAGATTGACTCTTCCCACCTCTTTTTCTCATTTAGATACTTCCATAAACTGAAATTGTCCTTCTGTAGCCAACTGATAGCCAGCTTAGAATCACCTTCCACCATCAGTTTTCTGATATTCAGCTCCTGGGCTCTTTATACTCCTTCCAGAACAGCCAATATTCATTTCATCTCTTAGAGAATCTCCCCATCCAATAGAACCAGAATACATGGCAATAATTCGACCTTCTTCATCCTTGAAAACTCCTATACCTGATGAGTCTGGATTTCCTTTGTTGCTACCGTCGAAGTTCAGTTTAATGAACCCCAAAGCTGGAGACCAAACTGGGTTAGATGCAGTCTTTATTGGAGCTGACCAAGCCACTTCTTTCCAATTCCTGATAATGTCTCATTCTGAATAGTCTTCAAAAAGCTTCGTAGTCTTAGCCCAATGAGCCACCCAAATAGAAATTAATTCAATGATGACATCCTTATTTCTTTCTTTCCCATGGAAGGTCCTTTGATTCCTTTCCTCCCAAACTGTCCAACGGATAGCTGCTCTTACATATCTCCGCAGGATTTTCCCTCTCTTCTTTAACCCCCCAACTGAAGTAGAATGGAACGAACTTTGCACATTTGGAGGAGAGGTCCACCTACAACCAAAAAGAGAGGAAAACCAACACCAGATCTCTGAAATAAATGGGCAGGATATCAATAGGTGATGACAGGTCTCACCATTCTCCTTACATAGGATGCACCAGTGCGGGGATAAACACCAATTAGGCCTTTTTCTTTGAAGTAAACCACAAGTGTTGCACTTTTCTAAGAAGGTTTCCCAACAAAAAGCACTAATTCTGGGAGGGATTGGTCTACCCTAAACTTCCAAAACTGGGAAGGGGTGTCCAAAAACAGGTGGGGAATGAGCCAACTCTTTGAAAAAGGAAAAGCAAGAGAAAACACCTGAGGGAGAAGGGACCCAAATCCTACTATTCCTCCTAAAGGGATCAATGCCCACCTCATCCAGGATTTTGAGCAGATCAGAAATAAGGTTCAATTCAGAGTCTCTAAGGGCCCTTCTAAAACCCAAGTTCCAATTAACAGCAGAATTAGATATGGTCAGAAAGGTGGAAACTGGCTCGTTTTTAAATCTCGAAAGGGAATACAAGGAGGGGAAAAACTCTTTCAATGGTGTGTTTCTCACCCAAACATGTTCCCAAAATTGCACAAGGTTACTAGAGCAAAAGTCGTACCTGATTAAAGGAAGGAAAGAAGGAAGAATGGCATGAATAGATTTCCAAGGAGAAGCTCTTTTAGCCCTAGATGATACTCCCCGTGTCCCAGCTATCTGCCACTTTCCCATGAACACTTAAAACTATTTGAGCCCACAATTTATCCCTTTTCGAAGTCAATCTCCAAAGCCATTTCCCCTATAGAGCTTCATTCTTTTTCTGCAAATTACCTAATGCAAGCCCACCATCACTTTTGGTTTTGGTGACTATTTCCCACTTGACTCTATGATCTCATTTCTCCTCCCCTGGTTCCCATAAGAAATCTCTCATTAACTTTTCCAAATTTCCTATTTTCCCACAGAAGATCATTCGCTTCAACTATGTGCATATCCATTTGTTTTAAACTGCATCACGTCAGAGCCATTTTTTCCACCTTCACAGCAGCACTTTATTAATATCTTACAGATCTACCCTGTGGCATTATGAGACAAGTCCGGGAAAACAGAAGGTGGAAACTTTCGGGCCTCCCTGCTCTCAAATGGTCTGCTCCTTGTGTAGAGATGCTACTGTTGACTGTGTTGCAGCCATATTGAAATCTTGAATATTTTTAGTCCTTAAGTATGAAAGCTGTCATCATTTTAACCAGAAAGGAACAATCAATTTCCTTTCTTCTGAAGTGCATCCATCTAATGCAGGACCAGCCACTGTCCATTGAAAATGGGTGCTGTTGAAGTTGAATATTCTTGAGCTTCCTCAAGCAAGAGGCAACAAAAGAAAATATCAATCAAACTTAAAAAGGAATCGAAACTGAATGTGGCACATTGATTTGTTAGAAATTAAACAAAGTAGAGTTACTTTTCCTTTTTGTGGGGGGTGGGAGCTTAATGATTAATGGAAAATTTTGACTGGTAACTTGCAGGAATAAGCAACACAATACTATTTCACGGCACTGGATCATATCCTCTCTTTCTCTCTCTCTTCTCTGTGACATTGGTAAGTATGGTTGATGACAAGTCTGTATGGAGCTTCCCTCAACAGTAGCCGTACCATGTTGACCAAATGCAACTGTAAGTGGAATTCATCCTCTCTTTTAATTGATGCTAAGTACAAATGTATGTTTGGTTAGGCAGCGTAACAGGTTAGATGGTTAAGATCAATTCTCAGCTTTATTCCATTCTATTTGTATTTTAAACATAGTGCAGTTGAACGTTAAAAAATGAATGACCCCTTTGACAGAGGACTCCAGTTCCCCTGCATGTGTGCCACATATTGATGTATTTGCCTAGGTTGACACTGGTTTAAGATGTTAGCAGTCTGTAATGCCTTGGACACATTGCACAGGCTTTTTTTTTTTTTTTTTTCAGTTAAGAGTATGATGGAGAATTTAGCAAGAGAGTTATGTTCAAATGGGAATTCTCTCGTGGGATCACATATGCAAACTCTTTTTTGTTATTGGCTCAAAAGTTGAAATAGTGCACAAAATGGATGGTCTTCAAATGGGGTATCCTGTGAGATTATCTATCTGATCATCAATCTTGATGCAAAATTACTTTCACCATAGATGCTTTTTATTTTGTTTTATTTTATTCTTTATGGGTGAAATTCCAAAATCCTGAGGTTCACTGTATCCAGTGAGAGAAACCTACATAAAATTATATATGGAATATCTGGCTATTAAGTTTAATCTGAACTGTGGGTATTTACTTGCGTAATTAGGTTATGGATTGAAATCCTCTCTTCAGACTCTTGTCGATGGACTAAAAATTTTAGATGATTGAATCGTTTCTCTTTTCACGGGATTAGAGATTGGAAAAAGGATTTGAGTGATGATCTCTCACAATTTTCAATCATCTGAGCTTCACATAGTTGTTGGTAAGAGCAATGACATGCAAAGTTTATTAATGAATTCTTTTTTACTTTTTGGTAAATCGGAAGGGGCTACACAAATTTATTAATTAATTCCATGTACAAAGAGTCCCTACTGTAGAGGTCTGATCCTACCACTTTATATGAGGTCAGGTGGTATCAGCTATGTTTGCACTTTGTGACATTTTGTTATCATGACTATCTTGATTAACCCGTCAATTAGGTGGCTTTAAAGATGTGTCTAACATAACAACTGAGTTAGCTTTGTAGCTCATCATGGCTGGTCGGGAGTTCTAATGGCCAAATTGTGCTAATCACTCATGTATAGGTGACATCTAGCTGTTGTATCTGAAAGTCTACTTTATCAAGGCAAAGATTCTTTAACGTGGGCAAGAAACTAAACTTGCAAGAGTAACTTACAATGGATTTTGATCTGAATGGATCTGACTAATTAGCAATTATGGGGGTGTTCTGTGTTCTCCAATGTGAACTGTTTTTCTTGTGAGATTCAAAAAGAAAGGTCCCTCAGCTGGTTTGAAAAAAAGCACTGGTTCTTAAAATAAAACTCGAAGCATAGGTTCTTGTTTGTGTGGTGTAAATACAACGGATTGGAATTTGGAAGCCCTGAGCACGGTGTTAAAATTTCTGACTATGTTTTGAGCCCACATTGGAAGCCAATTGTATGTCTCTGCAAAATGCGTTAAGACTCAAATGTGATATTTCTAGAGATGCCATGAGGGATGTGGCATGAGACCATATATGCCACAGCATAACCAAGTGGTGTGTTCTATGTGGCAAGGTTTTAAAAACTGACCTGGAATTGGAATCATTCTGGGTCGATGGTTTGATTGCTTGAGGCAATGGGTCAATGGATAAAAACAGCTAAAAACTGTTGAATGGGTCGATGGTTTGACTGCCTAGGTCAATGGGTCATTCACTAAATACCAAATGGTTCAAGTGGGTCAATGGTGGTTCAAAAACATTGCTATGTGGTATTGCCATCTGTGCTGTGTATGTTATTTCTTCAAGATGTTGTCTTCCTATATTGTGTATATGTTGGCATATCTTTTTGGATGCCACATGGCATGTATCCTTGGATGCCATGTGCATTTTTGAAATAACATGAAATAATTGGTTGGTGAAGCACCAAGGTTCAAAGTTTTGATAGTCTGATACGCCAAATTGGGTGTATCGGACTTTGTATCAACACTCTTTTATATCCTTTTTAAGTTTTTTGTTTTTTTCAAAATATGTTCAGGGGGTCGGTTAAAAGTCTGGTTGCCCCCTGAAACAGGTCTTACCCCGAAACTCGTTATATTTCGCATATCAGTTACCCATTGATACGATATGTATCAGTATCGGCCGATACAGGTCTTACTTCGAAACTCATTATATTTTGTGTATCAGTGACCCACTGGTACGATACTATCAGTATCGGCCAATACATGACGAAATTTTGAACCTTAGATATAATGCACATAGTTGTTTATTACTCTATTTAGATCATGTTGCAGATTTGAGTTTGGGTGCAGCATGTGTCATGTACGTTTGACAAAGATATAGTATTTGAATGTTTCATGTTTCATGAAAATTCTAGCAATTATGGTTCAAAGTATTGATACACCAGATACCCAAATTTTAGGTATCAGTGTGTTTTCAGGACGATTTTTTTTTTCCAGTATGATACTCTACAAACAAATATATACTGATTTTTTTAATCTTTAAACCCATTATAAACTCAAATATATAAAAGAACCATTATAAAGTTCTAATTATCAATGTTTAATGGTTTTGAAACCAATTTGTATCATATTGATGCATTAGGGTATTTTGAACCTTGCTAGCAAGTAAATTCATCCAATTCATGGGGTTGAATAGAAAGTTGATTAGGTTTAGTTTATAAATTTGGGTGTTGAGATCAATTTTGGTCTGGATCCAAGGTCAATGTTTAGGGCTGGTCTTGGGTTGATTTTTTCAGGATGGGCTTGTGCTTTCTTTGTTCTCCTTCCTTTTTTCAAGTCATAGTAAGATATTTTGGCAATATTGGGTTCTGAAGTCGTTTTATAGTTGGCTACATGAGTCTTGTTTTGCCAATCCATTCTATTTAAAATCATATTTATTGTTAAACTATTAGTGCTTAAATCACTTCAGTTTTATTGTTGGATAAAATTGAAAAAATCTTCTTACCCAACTTTTTGATCGGACTTTAGGCTTTATATAAGGGTTGGGCTTGAATTCAAGATTTAGGTCCAATGGTTGGGCTGGGCTCAGGCCTGAACATTTTTTTATTAATATATAGATAACTCTTGACATGGTCCGTAAACAGGTCTAATAGAAAATGAGGGATTTAATGGATTTTGTTGTTTTTATTGTGACTTTTTATGTTTTTAATTTATTTATTTACTTTAATAATAAATAATCACATGTGTAATAAAATGAAATGAGGTGAGGACCCTTGCCCTTCCTCTTTTCTCTCTCTATATAGATTGGTTGACATGTCAATCATATGATGCCACATGTTTATAGAATTTTATTGCACCCGAATGTCTGTGCTTTCACACTTTCAAAATATTGTGTAAATTGCATATACCCATCCACCCCGTAGAAGTTAGTAGATTCTATAGGTCTCACAGCAATCACTATGGGCTGAAACGAGAGCTGGGCTTGAAGCCCATAGACTAGCAAAAGAGTTGGGACTTGGGAGCCAGTAAAGTCTTTATAGAATATAGAGGGAGACTCTTAAGAATTAAGATCACAATATATATAACTCTAAAAGGAGGCCACGCGTGCGTGCTGTGGATATGGTCAACCATGTAGGTAGTGCGGGAGTGGAACGTCAATGTATCATATTCTCATGTCCATCGGGATTCAGGAGTGGACCCCGAAACCATTTGACCAGGGTTCGGGTTGAACGGTCAAACCATTTGACTCAGGAACCGATGGTTAAAGCGGTTCTGTTTTCTTTGAAACCATGGTTACGATAGTCTAATAAAAATTAATACATGTTAGTGATTCTAAATTGATGAAAACATCATGTTACTATGCGACTGTTCTTGTTAATTACGCTAATAATCAGTGTTTCCTATTTGCTGTTGACCCGGAAGGTTGGACCGTTAATTGTTTGAGGCAATTGGTTCCGCTTTACTTCAAATCTGGTCTTTGGCCAAAATCGTTAAATTGATTAGTGATCCGTTGAATGGTTTTTGACCATTATTTATTTTAATTAATTAATTAATTTATTTATTTTTGTTAAACAGGTCATTCATTCAAATTGAATGGTCAAACCATCAATCCACAAATTGGTGGTTAGAATGATTTTAATTTCGGATCGGTTTTTAAAATCTTGCTAATAATACTGGGTTTTTGCAACTGTGAGCCGTGAAGTTGGTCGCAGGAGATTCGAACAGAATATAGATTGTGCAAAGACTCCTCTACGCTACGTGAAGTCATGAATTGAGTATGGATCACCCGCATCAGCGGATAAGCCTGACTTGTGGGATTAAAGTTGACCAATTGGGTCTTAGTCTTACAAAACTTTGACTGGTCATTGGTCACCATGGTCAGCATCCAAATGGGATGTTTAGGTACATCTTCATGATGCCAAGTTATATGCCTATTTCTATCCCTTTTTGGGTTTTATCTCCCATGGATTTCAAAACCGGATCGGATTGGATGGTTGGACCAGAAAAATTGAAACCAGTTAGGTGATCGGTTTTGTTTTTCTCTAAAACCAGATATTTACAAAAAAACATTGATTTGGTTAGCAAATTGCTGACCCGGGCGGTTGAACTGTTTAAACCGTTTGACGGTTTTGACCAATTTTTTTTAATTTTTTAATTTTTTTGTCAGAATGGTTGGACCATTCGACCCGAGAACCGGACCCCTAACCGGTTCAGTCTCTGGGTCAGTTTTAAAAACCGTGCTATTTCCATATTATTGATAATCTTACTGGAGAGTAGAGCCCTGTAATTGGATGTAAGATTGTAATCTGATTGGATTCAATTCAGCTGCATCCGAAATCCAAATTGATCTGATTATTGAACTTCTAAATCTGATCAAATTTACTCGGACTTCACTCCATTATCATTAAAATAAAGAAAAACTAAAAAAAAAATAATTTTTAAATAAAAAATACTATATATAATTAGGGATGGCAATGGGACAGGTTCATGGAGAGTTCTATAAATTTTAGACTCTATCCATCTTCCTAAACCTTCCAATCCATATCCACCCCAAAACCCGTAGCAAGTTGCATTTCAAGAATTCAAACTCTCCCTACATATGAAAATGTAAACCTCTCCTCAACCCTATCCTTCCGAGATTTTTATTTAACTACTAAATCGATACATGTTTTAACAGCGGAATCTCAGTGATTGGAACTGATACCAGCTTTTCAGTCTGTTGACAGCCCTGATATGCATCGTGCATGTGTTGTGTGCAGATATGTAGCCTCCGAGCATAAAATAAAGGCTCCCAACTACTCCGTATAAAACACCAATTATGTTCTTCTCCTAGAAGTAGCTAGGTATGAAATGCAATTATAGAATAGTATTTAATTAATTGGGTGAACTGTTATATTGCATAAACACAGTTATATATACATGTTTTTCAACTATTTTTGTCTAATATGCATATATACATATTCTTTATAAAAAATTACAAAAAATGTAATATAAATATGTTTATAAATAAATAAATATAATACAAATACATACATGTACACACATAACGAGGGTGAACAAAATTCAATCCAATTTTTAATTGGATCTTATTATTAATCTAAAAATCCAACAAGGGACCCCTCCCCACTTCCTAATTCCCACCACCAGTGACATGTTGTCATTTTTGATAGATGTTCAAATCAATTAAATGAGAGTTAACTTTGGCTGTTGGGCCAATAGCCTATACTGTTGATAGCGTGTTTATGGTTAAAAGAAATAGGGAACAATTACTATTTTACTGTATGCTATCATAACGTATCATTCCCAAAAATATTTTCAACAATAGAGGCGAAAAATTCGAGCTTTACGAATTATTATCTAAATCCTTTTGACTTTATATTATTAAAAAAAGAGATGGAATTACGAACTCAAATGTGACATCTCGGTTTTTTAACCCCCCCCCCCCCAAAAAAAAAAAAAAGAATGTGACGTCTGGGTGGATCATTTTCAATTATAATTTTTAATTGTCTGTTCCATGTTGGATTTTCTTCTGTTTTCGTAAATGGGAGGCAAGATAATATTATATTCTTGTGGCATGTAATGCACCACATGAATGGACATGCCATGAGTCATGACTCACAAAATAACTAAAACATATATAGATGATAGATCATATTCTATATATAATAGTAAATAGTCAACTCTTTGGTATTAGAAAGATAATTGGTTAAGTAAACTACTAAGGCATCTCTCTCTCAGAAGAGAAAGATGAATTATTCAATGGTTAAGTTATTTGTTTGACAAACTTGTAGACGAAGTAAGCATTGCATTCATTCACTTGCTGCCATCAAAATGATGCATTGCATTACCTAATCAACCTAGAGGGAATGCCAGCCATTTTTATACATGCATTTTTTATCTTCCTCCTCCTTTTCTCTGTGTTCATCACTAGCTACTCTGTCTCTGCAAGAGATGGCTCAGTTGGCGGGAAATGACGAGATAGAGTCGCTGAGAATCGAGTTAGCTGAGATTGGAAGAAGCATGAGATCTTCGTTTCGACGCCTACACACTTCGAGTTTCAGAAGCAACTCAGCTCTGAATAATTCAGTAAGGGATGATGGCGATGATGAATATGCTTTGCAATGGGCTGCAATCGAGAGACTACCCACTTTTGAGCGGCTGAGGTCGTCCTTGTTCGATGGCCATGAAGACGGAACTGGAGCAGCTGATTTTAAAGGGAAAAGGGTGGTTGACGTGACCAAGCTTGGACCTTCGGAACGACACCTTTTCATAGAGAAGCTCATCGAACACATTGAGAGCGATAACCTTCGGTTGTTGCAGAAACTCAGGAAAAGAATAGACAAGTAACAACTAAGCCTTTCCTTTCAGATTCAAAGCACCCACTGATTCCTATACGTGTGTTGTCTACATAAAAATATAATGACTCCAAATTCATACATACATACATACATGCATCGTCATCGTCAACAGTCTGAATCTTTGATTTTGTAGAGTTGGCGTGAAATTGCCTGCCGTGGAGGTGAGATATAAAAATCTTTGCGTCGAAGCTCAGTGTCAGGTTGTTCATGGGAAGCCTCTGCCAACGCTCTGGAATTCATTTAAGGGCATGATTTCTGTATGTATGATATGATTAATTAATTTCATATCCTTGATTACTGGTTGCAATTAAAAGATCCAAAGTTGACTTTGTTGTGGTTATAGAACATCCAAAGTTTTATGGTTTACTTGCAGTTAAAAGATCAAATTGACTTTGTTGTGGTTTATTCATATATAGCTTGGTCTCCCCAACAGACTGGTTGATCGTTTAGAGAAGATGCATGGCTGTTAAATTTGTAATCCAAAAGGGTTTCATGTGTCCATTAATTAGCCCAACAGCCCCCTGCAAGCTGCAATGTAGCCATTGTGAGCTCCTTGTTTGGACTTTTCTTTCTTTCTTTCTTTTCCTTCTTTTTTTTTATTGAATGAGTAAATTTTCAAGTTTGTTTTTTAGTAGACAAATCATGCTGCGCTCTAGAGCTAGGATGGGCTTTGGAGTGGACATATGGCAGATTTGCAATTACCCAAAGCTGATGGAAGGGCACTCCGAGTTGGCCATATCATCTGGCCATTAACTTGCCTGAAATATGATACGCTTTTGTGGAGAAAAGGCCCATAACACAAGTATGCTAATGACTTGCTTGGGTAGTGACCTAACAGAACAAGGCTCCGCCTGTTCTTGATGCAGTAGGGCTGGAACAAACTAACACAAGACAGAAAGAGAGAGGAAGAGAGAGTAGAAAGGGTAGAGAAAGAGAAAAGAGAGAGAAATCCCAAGGAATCACTCCAAGGGGTCTTAGAATAACTTTAGAGTTTGTAGGAATCACTCCATACAGCAAGAGAGCTCTTAAGAAATTTTCATTCATTCTTTAGCCGAATACATCTACTTGTAGAATGACTTGTGTGGCCCGGAACACTGTTCACCATAATTACAAAAAGTGCCACTATTTGTCTTGTGCATCAAGAAACACAATAACTTTCTATCTACTAATGCAAATAAACTAAAAATTGAAAGACAAGCACTACTAAGCTATAGGAACAAGATGTTATAGCCCAAGTCCACATTGGGCTGGTCAAAATGACGAAAATACCCCTGACCAGATCAGTTCAAGTCCCAAGAGTCTTTTCCATGCCAAATCAGAACCTGTTTGTTGGCCTTCTTCTTACGAGAATAGGTCTTATAATGCATGGACCGATCCCCACCATCTCTCCCCGGCTTGAAAGAACTCGACCTTGGCGAGATTGCTCATAAAGTTATGGATTAAGGTGATACAAGTCTTCAGCTGTAATCCATGAGCATTCTGAAAGAGGTAGATTCTTCCACTGTACAAGAAACTTTTAATAACCCCCACTTGTTGTAGAAATCAACTTCTCATCAAGGATGTCTTCAGGCACATTAGTAGGTGGAACCAAAGGTAGCTTAGGCAATGGGACTATGGGACAATCGCTATGGCCATGATATGCACTTAGGTCTTCAACATTGAAGATTGAGCTAATTCCCATTTCGCTTGGCAGCTCTAGGATATAAGCATTACAACTGATTTTCTTAGTGATCTTATATGGACCTGAACTCTTGGACTGAAGCTTCTTATAAAAGCCCTTAGGAAAGCGTTTAGGACGTATACACAACATAACCATATCACCCTCTTGAAAATCAGCTAGGTGCCTATGTAAATCAGCTTTGGCTTTGTACGCATCATTGCTAAGAGCAATCTTGCGCCTAACTTCATCATGGATTTCTCTCATGTGGTGAGCAAAGCCTGCAGCCTCTATGCTAGTCTTGGCTTCTTGTGGCAAAGACACAAAATCAATAGGCCTCTTAGGCTGAATTCCAGTAACTATCTCGAAGGGACTTCTTCCAGTTGACCTGTTAACTAAACTGTTGTAAGCAAATTCAGCCATAGGTAGGATGAGATTCCACCTAGAAGTATGGTCATCAACTAAGCAACGTAGCAAATCACCAAGGCTTCTGTTAACTACCTCAGTTTGGCCATTAGTTTGAGGATGGAAAGAAGATGAGAACTTCAGATTTGTATTGAGGAGTTTCCAAAGTGTCTTCCAGAAGTAACTCATAAACTTAGCATCACAATCAGAGACAATAGTAATAGGAACACCATGTAAATGAACAATTTCCCTAAAGAATAGGCTTGTCACATGTGAGGCATCCGATGTCTTACTGCAAGGAATAAAGTGGACCATTTTGAGAACCTATCTACCACAACATAAATTGAATCATGACCCCTTATTGTCTTGGGCAGACCTAGGACAAAATCCATAGAGAGATCTTGCCAAGGTTCATGCGGAATTGGTAAGGGGGTGTACAACCTTGTATTTTTCTTTCTCCCTCTTGCCAATTGACAAACTCTGCACTTTTTGATCACACGATCAACATCAGCCTTAAGGCTAGGCCAATAAAAGCGATCTTCTACCATAGCAATGGTCTTGTCCTGACCAAAATGCCCAGCAATTCCACCTGCATGTAACTCCCATATAACATAATCACGTAGTGAGGTGTTAGGAACACACAAGCAAGTTCCCTTGAACAAATAACCATCATGGATAGAAAAGCCGGGATATTCAGATTGTTGTCCAGCTTGTAAAGAACCATAAATGATGCTGAAATCCTTGCAACCATCATAATCTTGCTTCAAATGATCGAACCCCACAACCTGTACAGACATAGAATGAAGTATATACACCACTTGGCTCAATGCATCGACTACTCGGTTCTTGGCACCAGCTGTATGTTTAATCACAAAGTTATATTCTGCTAAAAATTCAGCCCATTTCTGATGTCAACTACTAAGATGCTTCTGAGATTTAAGATATTTGAGTGCCTCATGATCTGAATACAAAACAAACTCTTGGGAAATTAAATAATGGCACCAATGTCGAAGACATTGCACCACAACATAGAATTCTTTGTCATATGTGGAGTACTTTTGTTTATCTTCATTAAGTTTTTCACTGTGAAAAGCTATAGGATGTCCTTCTTGCATAAGCACACCACCTATTCCAATTTGGGAAGCATCACAAAACACCTCAAAGATCTTTGAAAAGTTGGGCAAATGTAACATTGGGGTCTTAGTTACCCTTTGCTTGATAGTCTCAAAGGCTTTAGTTGCAACCTTAGACCAAACAGATTCCCCCTTTTTCATAGCTTCTGTAATTGGTGCCATAATAGTACTGAAATTCCTTATGGAACGCCTATAAAAAGTAGCCAATCCATGAAAGCTTCTCACTTCATGGATGTTAGTGGGAGTGGGCCAATCAAGTATAGCTTTCACCTTGTCAGGATTAGCCTTGACACCTTTAGAGGATATAACAAATCCTAAAAAGATAACAGTAGGTGTCATAAAAGAGCACTTCTTTAAGTTGATGTAGAGCTTTTCCTGACGTAAAACTTTCATCACTTGACGTAAATGATCAAGATGATTATTGGGAGTATGACTGTATATAAGAATGTCATTAAAGTAAACAACCAAGAAACGACCAATAAAAGGATGAAGTACTTGAGTCATAATTCTCATAAAAGTGCTGGGAGCATTAGTTAAGCAAAAAGGCATAACCAGCCACTCATAGAGGCCATCCTTTGTCTTAAAAGCGGTTTTCCATTCATCTCCAAGTTGAATCCTAATTTGGTGATATCCGCTTCTAAGATCAATTTTAGAGAAAATTGTAGCTTCACACATCATATCCAGCATGTCATCTAAGTGTGGAATAGGGAACCGGTACTTGATTGTAATCTTGTTGATTGCTCTGCTATCAATGCACATCCTCCATGAGCCATTCTTCTTGGGAGTGAGTAGAGCCGGTACAGCACATGGGCTGAGACTCTCTCTAATGAAGCTCTTCTTCAATAGATCATCCACTTGCCTCTTCAACTCAGCATGTTCTATGGGATTCATCCGGTGTGCAGGCAAATTAGGTAGTTGAAACCTAGGAATCAAGTCTATTGCATGTTGGACACCACGTAGAGGTGGTAATTCATCAGGCAACTCTTCTAGGATCAAATATGAAAATTCAGCCAACAAGTCTTCAACCTCTTTTGGCACCTTTGAAATAGGGGCATGTGCTGGTTTATTCACTTCTTTCACTATTAGGGCATAAAAAGGCCTGATTCTTTGCTTTCCTCCTCAAATTACTTCTTGGACAGAAAGAGAGGTTGCTTCTTTTGTTCAACTACCTGTTTCTGGGCTGGAGCTGCCTTTTGAGGGGCCTTAGTTCACTTCTTGATCTCATCAGGTGACATAGGTTTCATAACAAATTTTTTTCCATTAAATAGAAAGTAATATGTATTCTCTTTCTCACAATGGTATACATCCCTATCGTAAAGCCATGGTCGGCCTAATAGAATATGTGTAACATTCATAGGAACAACATCACACTAAATATCATCAACATAAGACCCATAGGAAATAGAAACAAGAGCTCTTTGTTCTACCTGAAGTGTCATCTTGTTTAACCAAGCAATCTTGTATGGTTGAGGATGAGGTTGTGCAGCTAGATTGAGCCTTTCAACAGTTGCTGTAGAAACCACATTCATGCTGCTACCGCCATCAATTATTAGCTTGCAAAGTTTGTCTCCGCTCTTGACAAAGGTGAGGAAGATCGTTGTATGAAGCCAATCTTCTTTCTTTTCTTCTTTAGAGGATGCTAAAAAGTGTCTAACAACTCCAACAAGATTGCTGTCATCTTCTTCTTCATGTTCAGACCCAGTGTACTCCTCTTCACCAAGGCCTTCTTCATCATCTTCCACTTGTCCTTTCTTCTCACACCCTATGTGTAGATTCTTATTAGGGCATTAAAATGCACAGTGGCCCTTTCCACCACACTTGAAACAAGTATTTTCTGTTGTCCCCCTTTTATTAGCATCAATCATGATGTTCTTCCCCTTGTTATCAGCTTCCTGATACGTGGAACCATTAAACCTTACTGGAACTGCATTATGAGATGTAGGTCTAGTGACTCTACCCTCATCTAAACTCTTACGTGCTGCTGCCTCCCCAGCTTGAACACCAAACCTCCAACTATTCACTTGCTTCAAGCTCTTCTCTATTTCAAGAGCCATCTAAAAAG